GGGTTGAGGGTTTAGGGTTTTAGGCTTTAGGGTTTAGGGCTTCAAGGTGAGCATCCAGCCGCGAGTCGCTTGCTATGCCATTCATCTTTGCCGCCATCCTGACCCTGACGAAAGGGAACGCAACACCTCAAGCCCTGAACCCGTTACCCCTCTGTAACCCCTAAGCTCGCAACCCGAAACCCTTTTATTCACAAACCCTAAACCTAAACCCTAAACCCTAAACCCTAAACCCTGAACCCTAAACACTAAACCTTGGAAAAAAGATTCAAGGCTGTGGCTTTCTTCGATCCAGAAATCTGGTCCACGTAAAGCCAACAAAGCCCTTAGACCCTTCTGGGCATAGGTTTTGGGTTTAGGGTTTAGGGTTTAGGGTTGTGGCTGTGAGGTTTTAGGGGTTCAGGGCTTTGTGAGTTTGAGGGTGCTTAGTGAGGGTTTTCGTGTTTCAGGATGTGAAGACTTTGGGTTCTGAACCACCAAGCGCACCTAACCACTCGCAACCCTAAACCTGAATAAGAGCTCCTCTATTCCCAGGATCACTTCACTTCAGGCGGAGGTGGGCGCAGAAGTGCACTACGCCAAACATCAAACCTGAAATTAGCAACACAACTGAACTGAAAAAAAACACAGATCATACTAGGCTCAAACACCCAAAGCCCCATAGCCAAATCAGAGCCCTTAGCCACAAAACTTGAGAACCCCCACCCAAGCACACTGTACTTGGAAAGTGCTTGCACCGGACGCCTGCGATGACGAGCACCAAGAGGGTGTAGAAGACCCAAGGAATCGGCGACACCTGGCTTCATCGATGCAGTATGCAACTTGCACTGGTATACGACGACATATGTAGATACACGCCAGCTCCTGCATGCGTGTATGCCTGCATGCCTCCAAAAAACTATCCTGCTGGGCACCAAGCTTCGGGTGGAAAAGGTGGATTCGTAATAATCCCAGAAGGTCAACCTACCCAGCAGCTAGTTCGTTGTTTACAGCACCCTAAACCCTGAAACAAAGGTAGCAGCTTCAGATTTAGGGTTTAGGGTTTAGGGTTTCGAGTGTGGCCAGCTGTTGCATTTGCAGTCCCCTCTCGGGGCACCTCGTATCCAAAGGGCTTTGCAATGGGGACTCAAGCAGGAGCCATATTATAGGCGCGTAGGGTTTACGATTTGGGGGTTTAGGGTTTAGGGTTCAGGGTTTGGGGTTTGGGTTTAGTTTTTAGGGTTTAGGGTTTAGGGATTAGGGTTCATGGTTTGGGGGGGGCGTTCAAAGTACTAAGATCTTTTTGGTTGGGGGGGTCAGCTTGGTCATTCGGTGTGTGAAGGTGTCGGGTTGTAATCTGCGAGCGAGCGGGTTGGGATTGTAGGAACTAGGCAATAAGAGTTGAACTCAGGAGCATAGGCTCGAAAACCCCACAACATACCAACGAACGTGTCCACTGCTGTCGCGAGGGCAGGAAAGGGCAAAAGCATTAAGCTGTGCGTTGCTAAGGGGTGCTCAGCCCAACCCGAACCTTACACCCCAAGACCAAGCTCTTACTTCGGGTTCGGATGCAGGGATAGATTGCGAGAGCCTTGCTGAGAAAAAGGGTAGGGCATGGAGTTTAGGGGGCCTCATAACTTTCATTCAATCGAAAGCCAGAGTCCTAAACAGCCTTCTAAGCCCTAAAGCTCTGAGCCCTCATTAACCAAAAACAAGAAGCATGCCACCCAGCACGCCACCCTCCAGCCGAACATCAATGTCCTAAACCCTAAACCCTAAACCCTAAACCCTAAACCCTAAACCCTAAACCCTAAACCCTAAACCCTCCACTGACACAGGCACGTCGCCCAGGAAAGGGTCCAGCGAGGGCCGAGAAAGAATTCTCCGGACGTGATCGGCCACGCCGTGCTCTTGTCACGAGGGTTTAGGGTTTAGGGTTTAGGGTTTAGGGTTTAGGGTTTAGGGTTTAGGGTTTAGGCATTGTGAGAAACTCATGGAGCTCCGGGCAGCCCAGTGTCCAGGCGACTTGGACGTCGCGTCCTAGAGTGTCCACCTAAACCCTAAACCCTAAACCCTAAACCCTAAACCCTAAACCCTAAACCCTAAACCCTAAACCCTAAACCCTAAACCCTAAACCCTAAACCCTAAACCCTAAACCCTAAACCCTAGCCCTAAACCCAGTTGGTCCAATACATCGTGCGTGTGGCCCTTTGGTATGAAAAGAGCTCCGGAGAATTTGAACCCGCCACGTGCAACCAATGTTGCCAAGTCCTCACGTCCAACGTTTGCTTTTGTTCTCGCGCACACAATTGTCCGACCATAAGACGCACTCGTCCGGGATTGCGATGACGCGCTCCGTGGCTGCTGCACTGAACCCAATACACGCTTTCCATTAACATATCCGAAAACCCGAAGCCCGACACCCCAAACCCTAAACCCTGAACCCAAAACCCCAGACCCTAAACCCACACCCTAAACCCTAAACCCTAAACCCTAGCCCTAAACCCTAAACCCCCCCCCAAATCGCCCAGGGCGGCCGAGGCTGGCGTGTAGAAGGCCAGAAAGGCGGTGGCCGGGCCGGTGAGAACCCTGAGAGGGTACACCTGAGGGTCTAGGGTTGAGGGTTTAGGGTTTGGGGTTGAGGGTTTAGGGCTTGGGGTTTAGGGTTCGGGGTTTAGGGTTCAGGGTTGCGGGTTTAGGGTTGCAGGGTTAGATTCATATGGCCTTCGGGCTTGGCACCGCAGGTGCTTTGGTGGGGCTCAGGTCCCGACTAGGTGGTGCCTGGACTGGCTACTTCTACGGATTCCGAGTCTTATGGAACCCTTTAAAATTTAGTTAGCGCCCACCCTAACTACCTTTGGGACGTAGGGTTTAGGGTTCAGGATTTAGGATCCAGGGTTGGGGTGGTTAGTGTGGGGCTGTGTAGGATCCCATATTTCAAGTGGCACATCCGGGTCCATGCGTGTGTGGAAGCACGAGCCCGAACTTGAACCAAGAGCAACCTAGGAATAAAAGGGTGCCGGTTTTGGTGACCTGGTGTAAAGGGGCTCATAAGGGAACCTAAGCCCTAAAAAAAGGAATAAGGGCCTACTCTGGGTCCTAGCTACACAAGAATGAGAGGTGGCAAAAGCGCTGGCCATCATGGGAACAGCATGCGGGGCTCCCGGAAAAAGGGGCTGGGGCTCAAAACCCTCCAAACCTTGGAAGCTCAGAAACACCCAGGGCTCGTGAAAACATGAAGAGCCCGATGACACCCACCCCAAAACCCCTAAAGAATCAAGCCCCTACGTGGGCTGTAGGGGCATAGTCATAGTCTAAGTGTTCTTCAGTGCTCGAGCTACTGTAGGTGCATGGACGCCCAGCCCCCAAACCCTAAACCTAAACCCTAAACCCTAAACCCGAAACCCTAAACCCTACACCCTAACCCTAAACTGGCATGAAGATACAGTTCAGGATAGATTTTCGTGCTTCGGAATTGTAGCTTTAAGTCTCAGGGTTTGTAGGGTTTGGAGTTCAAGGTTTAGAGCTCTTAAGGCTTAGGGGGCTTGAAGCCCTCAACCCTTGAATCACGAAACCCTAAACCCTAAACCCTAAACCCTAAACCCTAAACCCTAAACCCCACAACTCCCTCAGCCAGGCCACAGTGATGGCCAGCTTCAGCGGGTTCGACCTTGGCTGTCAAAAAGGAACTCGCTTGCAGCTGTAGGGGGGGGGGGGTTCGTGGAAGTGGGGTTTGGGGTTTGGGGTTTGGGGTTTGGGGTTTAGGGTTTAGGGTTTAGTGTTTAGGGTTTAGGGTTTAAGGTTTAGGCTCTAGGGTTTAGGGTTTAGGGCTTAGGGTTTAGGGCTTGGGGTTCAGGGGTTAGGGTTTAGGGTTTAGGGTGTGGGGTTTAGGGACTAACGTGGTGTATGGGTGCGTCTTGCAGGTTCCTCGTAGGGAAGACTTCCTAGAGCTCCTTGAAGGGTGCTGCAAGGTCACTTCAAAACCCCTATAACATAAGAACTAGTTCATGGTTTGGGATAGTATTAAAAACCAAAATGTCATTTCCTTATTGGGTTTAAGCACCCTTTAAAATTTTAAATGTTGCCCCTCTATGACAAAGTAACAAGAACTAGTAAGTAAGATTGTGCACGCTGGGTTCAGGGTCTATTGTTCGGGGTTAAAGGCCCACAGACGCCAATCCTCGCAAGGTTCCCCAAGCACCATTTGAGGATGCTTTTTTGTTTTTTTTAAGGCATCTTGCTCGGGGTATTGGAGTCTTTGCAGGCTTCTCAGGGAATGGTGGGCACGGAGATCAGGTTTTCGGAGTCTGGCATTGAATTTGGAGTCCAGACGTGGTTGGGCCGAGCCTGTACAACACCAAGCCTCGCACGGCGGGAGCCTCAACCTCGTCAAACCGCGGATAGCAGCCTTCCTCGGAACTTCCTCAATCTCCGCCAACGCCTCGACAGTGAACGTCGCCTCCTCTACAAACCTCAAGTGCCCGAACCCTAAACCCTAAACCCTAAACCCGAGACCCTAGACCCTAAACCCTAAACCCTACAAAGCCTACAAACCCTCTAAACCCTTGACTGCCAGGGTGCCCCCCAGTCCACCCTGAGGCCACAAGAGGAAGCAGGATGTAGAGGGGCATCAGCAGGGAGGTGACCTGAGGGTTAGGGTTCAGGATGTTTAGGGCATTTTTTTTTTGGATTTGTTCTCTCTTGCTTCGGCGTTTGGTGTTTTTTGGGCTTTTTAGGGGTGCGAGGGGCGTGGGGCCGTCACCTTCCGATGCTCCTGTGCCATGCAGCTCCCTGAGCCATGCACCGTTCAGATCCTATGCCCTGTCGCTTGATGGTTACACTCCTCAGCCCAGCCGTTTCAGTGCACAACCCTGAACCCTAAACCCTAAACCCTAAACCGTAAACCCCACCCCCACCCCCCCCCCCACCCCGTAAACCTTAGCGGTGCCAACTTGCTTTGAGGGCTCATAGAGGTCTTGTAGGCTTGGAATTTGAGATTTAGGGTTGCTGGTGCTTTACCCCAATACCCAATGATCCCTAAAATTCCCATTTAGGACACGCGCTGGAATACCGAGGAAGGTGATCACGTAGTGCTTGGAAACATAAGTATCCGCAATCAGGCAAGAATGAGCCTCTGTACCAACTGCAGCACTTCGTCTCCACCACTGAACATGGACAGCGCAAAGTGGAATGACTCCAGCTCGTACAGCGGAACTTGCCAGAAAGCCGCTAAGGCAGGGAATGTGTTCCCATTGCAGCCAGCCAGTCGCAGAAGCACGACGTGTGTCAAGCTGTGCAAAATGCACAGGAGAAAATCCATGTCAACCAGAGTCATGACTACAAGTCCTTTGCATAAAAGCACTGGACTTCAGTTTTGAAAGGGTGTTACAAAGCTTTCGTGAGTTCTTTTGGCTTTTGGCTTCAGGGTTTAGGGTTTAGGGTCTGGGATACAGCATGAAGGCTCAAGACTCCGGCTTGAACAAAAAAAAACCTCCAAAACCTTGCGTGCCCCGACACCTGATCAACAAAAACCCTGTAAATACCGACACCGGCCTTCCCTACAGGTGAACCGCTGGGAGGGTTTAGGGTTTACGGTTTAAGGTTTAGGGTTTAGGGCTTGGGGCTCAGGGCTTAGGGCTCTTACAACCCAGTTCAAAAAAAAGAAAACAGCCGGCCGAAGGGCATACGCGATGTGCTCCTTTGGAATGCCATACCTGAGATTGTCGCGAGCTTAGACCCCTAGATCCCTACACGCTGAGTCTTGGTATCTAGGGGGTTAGGTAGCCCTACATAGTCCTAAACCCTAAACCCTGAACCCTAAACCCTAAACCCTCGCTTGGGGCTTCGGCTTTAGGGTTTTCAGTTTTCAGGGTTTAGGGCTAAGGGTGCCCAACGGCTTCTAAACTTATGGAGGTCCCTGTGTAATCCCCAATGCCCGGGCTCCCTACTTGAACTCAGAAAGTAGCTACCTGAACTTCCAAACTTTCCAAAACTTCCCAAACCCAAACCCCAAACCCCAAACCCTAAACCCTAAACACCTAGAGCCTCCAAGGAACTCCTGAAACTTCAGCGGCGCCACGCTCCTTGGTAGCCCAGTGACCATATTACAATAAGGGCACCCTTTTTTGGGGTTCAGGGTTTAGGGTTTAGGGTTTAGGGTTTAGGGTTTAGGGTTTAGGGTTTAGGGTTTAGGGTTTAGGTTATTTTATAAGGGAACCTTGAACCAAAAAAAGGGGGGAAAGGGTACTACCGGGCTACCGAGGCACTCGCAGACTGCGAAAGGCGCCTTCAAAAGGTGTTGGCCGGTTCGGAGGTTTAGGGCTTAGGGATTTAGGGTTTGGGGTTTAGGGTTTGGGGTTTAGATTTTAGATTGAGGCCTCGGGATTGGGGTTTAGGGTTTAGGGTTTGGGGTTTAGGGTTGTCTAGTTTGGGGTTCGGCATTTCGAACTTTGCTGATTTAGGGCTTGGAGTTGCGGTTGTTTATTTTGAGGGGGTGTTTGGCATAGGGTCTAGGGCTTCAAGGGTTCTCCTCCCTTACAGGGTTCTGATGTATGGGCCCTTCATTTGTTGAAGGTATAAGGGGTATATATATATATATACATATATATATATGGTACCCTTAAGGGGTACCCTTAAGGGCCCCTTAAACCCTAAACCCTAAACCCTAAATCCTAAGCCCTCTTGCCCAGCGGCTTCTAAAGCCCTCGGGTCAGCGCAGCGTGGCTAGGAAAGCGGGTGATCTCCACCGTAGCATCAGTGTCTTCACACCAAAGGCAGATGACTGTATGTTTCTGGGTTCTGAAGCAATTAGTAGATGATGGAGGGTGTGTAATCGTACCAACAGTCTGAATTCTTTGAGTTCATTTGTGCACTGGCCTCTCTGGCAGACTTTATGTCAAATCCCCCAAAACCCCCGCACACCAAAAGCCCTATGAGCCTGACATCCCGATCCTTCTCTGAACCCTAGCCTCTACGAATCCTAAACCTTGGGATGTTCCCCCTTATACTAGCAGTCCTTCATGGATTATAGTACTATTTTAATCCACAATAAGGACTGTTAGTATAAGGGGGAACATCCCAATCCTAAACCCTGAGACCTCCACCCCAAACCAAAATGCCGCCAAGTATTGGCCTTCCAGGTCACCAGGACCACGAAGAGATTGCGCACATGCTTCAGCTCAACCATACGAAGCATCCTGGATGTGTACGTGAAGTAGAGTGCCTAGTGCTAGTATCCCCGGAAGCACACCCTAAAGTATCAATAGTAATATATATATATATATACAATACATTTACATATTGAGTTGTATGAAGACATTATCTATGGAACTACACATACATATATATATATATATACGCGCTCGCCCAGAGCAGTAACATAGGGTCCAATTTGGGGTTCTTGTCGCGGCTCGATTATTCTGCGTTTCAGAAGTCCTTGCATCAAAACAAAGCAGACAACAACTAAAACTAAGTGACTTCATCCTGCAACCACCAGCAAATGAGGGATTGCTGCTAAAACTTGAGAGTTTGACGAATTCACATTGGAAAACTATGAGGCCTTGGGGGATATTCGGCCTTCAAGAGTGTGGGTCTTTATACATCTTTAAAAAGGTTAAATTATGCACATATGGGCACTTCTCCAAATGGCAATCGCCTTAGGGGTGACTGATATAAGGCGGCCCCCTGATATTTAGGGTACCAAAAACGAGACAATAATTTTGAGAATGTTCCCTTTTCACGAATATTTTTTATGTGCATACACATAGTCTTGGGACTTCGGTGCTTCACCCAAAGAGCCTACTACCCCTCAACTAAGAAATATTGAGGGTCGTTATGTAAATTAGTGTATATTCCTTAACTAAGGGGTATTGGAATCTTTGTGTAGGGCTTCAAGGTATCGGGCTCTTAAAGTCTAACCCTGAACCCTAAACCCCTAAATCTTAAATCCTAAACCCACAAACCCTGCTTCAGCTGCTTCAGGGCTTCAGGGTATCGAGCTCTTGAAAATTCCACGCCCGCTTGGAGGTTCATGGTACTGTACTTCTCACCCACTTGTAAGTAAGCCCTTTAAGTGCCCTGAAAGGGTTATAAGTACAGTTTTAAGTACAGTTAGAAGTACAGAAGTACAGTTCTAAGTACAGTTATAAGTACATAAGCCTTCTAAGTGCCCTAATATGGCTATAATACTTGGGTCATAAGTGCAGTCAGAATGGGCTAGACCCAGGAGTAACTTTGGAATAAAAAAGGGCACTCTTTTGGGTTATTTTATTGGGTACCCCAAAACCCTAAACCCTAAACCCGTAGTTGGGTTCTTAAGATACCATGAACCTCCACAGCGACCCCGCCGGCACGCAGCTGCCCTGCTGCCAGGCAGCTGCGTGTAGGACTCTAGGATACCCTCGGGCTCCTCCTCGCGGTTTAGGGTGTAGGGTTTAGGGTTTAGGGTTTGGGGTTTAGGGTTTGGGGTTTAGGGTTTGGGGTTTGGGGTTTAGGGTTTAGGGTTTGGGGTTTAGGGTTTGGGGTTTAGTAGGGTTTAGGGTTTGAGGGGTTTAGGGTTTGAGGGTTTAGGGTTTAGGGTTTGGGGTTTAGGGTTTGGGGTTTGGTAGGGTTTAGGGTTTAGGGTTTGAGGGGTTTAGGGTTTGAGGGTTTAGGGCTTGAGGGTTTAGGGTTTAGGGTTTAGAGTTCCGGGTTTAGGGTTTGGGGTTTAGTAGGGTGTAGGGTTTAGGGTTTGAGGGTTTTTGAAGGCTTTTGAGGGTTTCCAGGTGCTCCAGCGCTTAGGGTCTAGGGTTCAGCGTTTAGAGCTTGAGAAGTGGGCTGTACAGTCTGGGGATTTGTCTGCGGGTCTCTCAGCCAAATCATCAACCGGAAAGACTGTAAGCCTCAACCTCCAACCCCCAAAGCCCTTTAAAAACCAAAGGGAACACCCCCCCCCCCCCAGCCCTAAACCTTAATCCTAAACTCTAAGCCCTAAGCCCTAAGCCCTCAACCCTAAACCCTAAACCCCGACAAGGCCGCAAGTAGCTATCCTCAGGCGGCAATGGCTTCTCCTTAGCGACCGGATTCAATTGCTGGGAAGCAAGCGGCATGAAAGTTTAAGGTTTCCGGGGTTTTGTAACCCCCAAGAAGTAACAACAACGAAAATACCGAGGTCCTACCTAGCATCTATGAAGCATGCAAATCCCCAAACCCTGAACCCTGAACCCTAAACCCTAAATACCCTAAACCAGGGCCTACTCCCGGTCCAAGGCTTCGGGTTGCGCTTTCTCGAAGCTGTGGGTTGAACTCTCTCAGTCTTCTGAAGCTCGCCATCGTCTGGGCTGGATCCTACCTGGAGGATCGGGGCACTTAGTAGGGTTATAAGTACCTTAAATGGGCTTATAAGAAATGATAAGTATAGTTCCTTTTCTTATAACCCCACGAAAGCCCCCTGATCCTTTTAGTAGACTCCGACACCCTGTATCAGTAATTAGGGTTACAATTACCTGAACTTGATAGGTAACGATAAGTATAGCTACCTTTCTTAGAACCCCACGTACGTAGCCCCCTGATCCTTTACCCTTCACCCATGACCCTTTACCCTAAACCCTAAACCCCAAACCCCAAACCCTAAATCCTAAGTCCCCCGATCCTTTAAGTAGACCCCTGGAAGCTGTATCGATGAAGGCTCGGTCTTTCCAAGGGCCACCAGCAAGGTCACGGCCAGGAAGAACAGGCCATTGCCAAACCTCGGGTTGCTTGAGGGTTAAGGGTTTAGCTTCAGGGTCTAGGGTTTAGGGTTTGGGGTTTGGGGTTTGGGTTAGGTATAGCTACCTCACTTATAGCCCTACTTACTAAGTCCCCTGATTCTTTAATCAGGGTTTCGGGTTTAGGCCTTTAGTGTTGTCACGGGGCTAGGGGTTGTTGGGGCTTACAAGGTTCTCAGGACTTCTTGAGTTCCTTATGGGTGTTTAAGATGTTTACTAAACCCTAAACCCTAAACCCTAAACCGTAAACCCTAAACCCTCTCGCTTGCATTGTGACTTGGATAGAACCTAATCAACCGTTGCCATGAGCATGTCAGTTGTGCGCCCAGATGCTGCCATTGGCATCGCCTTTTGTTCTTCGATCAGCTCTTGCCCCATGAGTGATTCAATTTCCTCAACTAGAGGATCAGCTCGCAGGGTGGCCACACGCTCCCGCACAGCTTTAAAGCCCATGCGGCTTATAGAGCTCAGAGTTTATGTAACCCCATACAGCCATAAAGCCTCATGACCTAATAGATCTAATTATGTCCGGTTGGGCCCATGAAGCCCGAAAGCACATGAAGCCCATAGCTTAAAGTAAAACCCTGCCCAAAACATACTGAAGCTCTATAAAGCTCTGAGCTAAACCCTAAACCCTAAACCCTAAACCCTAAAGGATATGCGGAACAAATTTCGGCAAAACACCCTAAACCCTAAACCCTAAACCCTAAACCCTAAACTTCCCCTAAACCCTAAACCCTAAACCCTAAACCCTATGACCCCTCAGGCCCTCGAGCCCTTGGCCCCCCCCTTCACAGCTGCCTTGACTGGGGGTTGGGTGGGTGGGGGGAGGTCCCTATTTGAGGGTTTAGGGTTTAGGGTTCAGGGTTCAGGGTTCAGGGTTTAGGGTTTAGGGTTTAGGGTTTAGGGTCTTCCCCTGCAGGCTGAGGCGCAGGAAGCTGGACAGCGAGAGGAGCTTGAAGTGATCCAGCACTGTGAAGCCTGTGCAGGGCAACTCAGGTTGCGGCTGTTCTCGAGGATGGCCCCCTAAGCCCTCTAACCCTAAACCCTAAACCCTAAACCCTAAACCCGAAACCCTAAACCCTCTAACCCTAAACCCTAAACACTCTAGCCCCAAACCCTAAACCCCTAAACCCTCAACCCGAAACCCTAAACCCCAAACCCTAAACCCTACCCCAATAAGAGAAAATATAGAATGTCCCAAGGGCCTGCCTAGTTCTTGGTTTTGGGGTTTCTGTGTTTAGGGTCTAGGCGCTAGGGTTTATTTCAGAGTACACCATATAAGGTGAATGAGGGGAGGGTTCTACAGCGTAGCAGGACGAACGGTTAAACCCGAAACCCGAAACCCGAAACCCGAGTCCCTGAACCATGCAAGTCCCGTCTCCGGGTCCCTGCCCTAAACCCTAAACCCAAAGCCCTAAACCCTAAACCCTAAACCCCAAACCCTTTCCCCTCCCGGGCTTGCGCATCTCAGGGGCCTTGGGGGAGGCAGAAAAGCTGACTGAAATCTCTACAGCCCTGTGGGGTTAAGGGTTTAGGGTTTAGGGGTTAGGGTTAGTTTAGGGTTTAGGGGTGTAGGGGTTTAGGGTTTAGGGTTTTAGGGGTTTAGGGGTTTAGGGTTTAGGGTTTAGGGGTTTAGGGATTTAGATTTTAGGGGTTTAGGGTTTTGGGTTTAGGGTTTAGGCTGTTCCCGACCCTCCCCCACCCCCTTCCCCCAGCCCCGCCCCTCCCCACCTGTAAATCCCAAGGCGTATCCGAAGGTCTGCCCCGCCGCATTGCAGGTTGCCTGGTAGTTGGCATTCTCCTGCCCAAAATGTTGGGACGATTGTTCACCGGGTTTAGAGTTTGGGGTTTAGGGTCTAAATTTTACGAGGGTTTAGGGTTTAGGGTTAGTGCATTTATAGAAATTGAGGACGCCCAGGACTCTGGCTAGCTCTATCATGCAAGTAAGCTTTAGGGTGCTGGGTCTCACGCTAAACCCTAAACCCGAAACCCTAAATCCTACACTGGGGGGTTGGGGGGGAGCGGGGGGAGGGGGGGGGAGGAACCCTCAGCTTTGGCATGCCGCCTCGTAAAAACCAAACATCCCTAACCCCGAGCAAATAGATGAACACAAAGCTCCAATTAGGGTTTAGGGTTTAGGGTTCAGGGTTTAGGGTTTAGGTTTAAGTACCTTCGAGGGGTCCTTACTACCTGGGAATCCTCGTACTTGGGTGGGTCTCCCAGATGAAACCCGAGCTCCTGTTGTAGGGGTTCGAGGGCGTGGTTTAGGGTTTAGGGTTTAGGGTTTAGGGTGAGAGATTTGGGATTTCTGGAAGCACAGGGTCGCCAGTAACGAGACCCGAGCCAAAGCACACCCCGCTACTGCCAGCCCATCAACTCCTCTCAACGTGTGAAGAAGGTTTAGGGTTTAGGTTTAGGGTTTAGGGTTTAGGGTTTAGGTTTAGGGTTTAGGGTTTAGGGTTTAGGGGTTAGGGTTTAGGGTTTAGGGTTTAGGGTTTAGGGTTTAGGGTTTAGGGGTTAGGGTTTAGGGTTTAGGGTTTAGGCAACCAAAATCTTAGGGTAGTTTCACGGTCCCTTGGCGATGGGCGGTAGAAACATGGTCCCTTGATATGGGCCGTTCAAAGGGGACCCCTCATATACCCCGTATCTGCCCCTTTACAACCTCAGGGCCCAGACATCACAACCCTTCAAAGGAGGCAAGGGACCAAATTAAGGGCCCATGTAACTACGCTTGGAAGCAACAAAAAGACAATTCTTTACCCCTAAGATCCCCAAAGCTTGCCCGAGACCCCTAAACCCTAATTCCCTAAATCCCGAAACCCCGACACCCAAACCCCTCCTTTCGAAGCATTGTCAGTGCCCAGCCATCCACAGCGATGTCCTGATACTTGGGGTCGGAGGTGGAACACCCTAAACCCTAAATCCTAAACCCTAAACCCTAAATGTCCTGCAGCCCAACACACTGAACCTCACAAACCTGACATGCCCAGCCTTTGGGGGTGAAGTGTCAGAAGTGTACCAGGGTTTAGGGTTCAGGGTTTAGGGTTAGGGGTTTAGGATTTAGGGTTTAGGGTTTCGGGTTTAGGGTTTAGGCCTCGAACCGGGCGACTTTGTGTGCGATGAACTTGAGCGGCTAGCTCCCCTGCGGGCAAAAAGATGCCCCTCCACAAAGAAACCTGGACACCTCAAAACAACTCACCTAAAGCCCTCAAGCCCTAAATCCCAAGCCCTGGCCCCAAACCCTAAACCCTAAACCATAAACCCTAAACCCTAAACTCTAAACTCTAAACCCTAAACGCCAAACCCTAAACCCGAAACCCTGAACTCTAAACCCTAAACCCTAAACCCTAAACCCTAAACCCTAAACCCACCCCTAAACCCTAAACCCCCCAAAAGAAGGAAAGCGTGGAGAGAGAGAAGGTAAAGGCAGCTGCTTTGTCTCGACGGAAGTCTGCGGTCTCGAGACCAGCTTCGTGAAAGGTCGTACCCCGCGGTCGTGCCCAGAGTTTAGGGCTTTCGGGTTTAGGGTCTAGGGAAATTGTTTCGGGTTTAGGCTTTCGCGTTAAGGACTTGCCGCCAAAACCTCGTAATTGCCCTGGACCACCTACAGTCCCTCGAAACTAGGCTTTAGTTTCATAATTCACGTACACGATTCTTGGGTCAGCGACAAAATGCTCGGGTTTGGGTCAAGGTGGTGCTTGGATGCCGTTCCCGCGGACAATGGCGTAGTCTTGGCGTGTGGGTTTAGGGTTTAGGGTTTAGGGTTTAGGGTTTAGGGTTTAGGGTTTAGGGTTTAGGGTCCCCAGCGTCCATTGAGATCGACTGTGGCGGGGATTCGCCTCCTGCAGTGGCCACCATTTCGATTGTATGGCCTCATCGGGACACATGGCCCCCGCCGATTTTGCTGCCGCCCAAACGGCTGCGATATGGACACTTCCCGATGGCTGGAGTCCAGCGTTTGAGGGTTCAGAGGTTGGCGGGACGATCAGAGAGGGCAGGGAACCGAACGCCCCCCCAATAACCGGGAAGAAGGACGCAGTCTGGGTCGTTTAGGCTTTAAGGTTTGGGGTTTGGGGTTTAGGGTTTAGGATTTGGGGTTTAGGGTTTGGGGTGTAGGGCTAGAAGGTCTTGTAATTACACTGGGCTGCGGATTTAGGCCTATAGACCCCTGGCAAACCACCCTAAACCCTAAACCCTAAACCCTAAGCCCCTAAGTCCTGCGTGGCGCAGAGGAAGTTCATGGCTAGAAAGAGGCCCGTGAGCGAGTTGATGGCCGGCTTCCCACCTCCAACTCCTCGGCTCAGGACTTCAAGGGTAGGTTAGGAGGGTTTTGGGGTGTATTTACGGTTGGGTTTAGGGTTTCCTGAGTTTAGGGTTTACTTAACCCTCAACCCCGGAGAGCAGAACAAGATGTCCGCCCGACCTCAAACCCCATGGAGGCCCAAAGATCCCGAAGCTTATAAGGCTTTTCTTTCTCCTCCTTTTAGGGCTCCTTTTTTTCGGGCTTAGGGCTTGGGGCTTGGGGCTTGGGGCTTAGGGCTTAGGGTCTAGGGCTCAGGGTTTAGGGAACCCTGAACTCCTAAACCCTAACAGGGCTCAGGGACTCCTTCGCACAGGCAGGGTTCAGGGTGTCAAGGGTTTGTGTTCGAAGGTCTAGGTGCTAAAACAAGGCTCTTGGGATGCTCCCCCTTCTACTAACAGTCCTTAATAGGGATTATAGTGCCCCCGATGATAATCCCGATTATGGACTGTTCGTATCAGGGGGAACATCCCAACCAGGATGGGTTCTGGTGCAGCAAGATTCTGTCTAAACCCGAATGAGACATCGAGATTCTCTATAGCCTAATGAGGCAGAACACTCGGAGGTCAACTTGCGCATGAAGAACCTGGTCTAAACCCTAAACCCTAAACCCGTTAAACATTCTCCTCCTATGAGTCCCCCCCCCCCCCCCCCCCCGAAAAAAAAGAAGCTCAGCAACCCTAAGGGTAAAGGTGGGGGGGATTTCTAGAGGTCCTCATCAAAAGGCCTAGGGGTTTAGGGCCCCTTGTTTAGTTGAGGTGGGGTCGAGTGGGCTAGTCCCGCAGACCCTACACGCCAAAGAACACACATTTGGGGGGTTTAGGGTTTAGGGTAAACCCTAAACCCTATAAACCCTAACCCTAAACCCTAAACCCTAAGCCCTAAGCCCTAAGCCCTTAGCCCTTAGCCCTATAGCCCTATAGCCCTATAGCCCTATAGCCCAAAGCCCTAAACCTCCTCCGACCCCGAACCTTGCGTCCCAACCCTCTGAAAAGGGAGCCAAGAGTCCAATGAGGGACTCCAGCTGTGTTGCCGTGTAGAGCCTCGTGAAATCCCCCAAAGCCTAAACCTAAAGGGGTTTCGGGTTTAGGGTATAGGGTTTAGGGAAGTTTAGGGTTAGGGTTTAGGGCAGGTTAAACCCTAGGACTAACTCAACCCAAACCCCTAAACCCCGAACACCCGCTAAACTGGGATGGGTTCGGAGGCCTTGGCTACACTGGGTTCTGAAGGGGTTAGGGACCATCAGTGGAGTTATGAAATTCATTCCGCATCAATGCCAGCAAGCCCTAGACCCTAAACCCCCGGTCAGGCCTTCGGGCATACACTTCTAGGTTTCAGCTAGGCTGCCTAGATCCCCGAAGCACGCGCAATGATAGAAGGGAATGAGGTGCCCGAATATAATCCTTCGAAGGGTGTGTATACTTTGCAGGTTCACGGGTGAGGTTAGGGGCTAGGGTTTAGGGCTTAGGGTGTAGGGTTTAGGGATTAGGGTGTAGGGTTTAGGGTTTAGGGTGTAGGGTTGCTTATAGCGTCGAGGTTCGGGATGTAGCATAGACGATTTGGAAAAGCTGCGGGCTACCGGTTCCGCCAGAAATGAGGACTGACCCTGAGCCCTACCATGTCTAAAAATAAAAATAAACCAGACCCTGTTCTAGACCCCACTAAGCCTTAAACACCTATAATTGAATCCTCAAACACCTAATTTTGAATCTGAATACACCTTAACCCATAAACTCGAATCCTCAAAATCGAAACCTGCAGTAAAAAGCAAGGGCGCATCAGGAGGCCGATAAGCATCTGGGACGGCACCATCCACCTTGCGGGGAAAAATGAACAAAGAACGGAAGAACGAAAGAAAGAAAGAAAGGGGCCCTTCATTTTAAGGGTTTAGAATTATAACAAAAAAGAAAGAAAGAAAGGGGCCCTTCATGTAAGGGTTTGGGATTGTAACGGCTCGGGGTTTAGGGTGTCTAGAAAAATGGGGTACCCCTTGGGGGGGGGGGGGGGGCTTCCTAAACAACGGGTTATAGTCCGTTGGGGTGTGCTCGGGGTGTTCCTATTTTCGGAACGGCAAATGTGGGATCCTGGTATATGAGTCTAGGATTCGTACAGTAGGCAACCTACAAAAAAAGGAGGCTTCCTTTACCTGGTGGAAAGCCTCGAAGCCTAAATTTGGGGGCCCTCCCTGTGATAAAATCTTCCCAAAGCAGGCTGGGTCACGAAATAAGGCCCCTGAGCCCTGGAAACATCCAGGGTCTAAGGATTACGGCTTCAGGGTTTTAGGGTTTAGGGTGTAGGGCTTTAGGGATAGAGGGTTTCGAGGGTTAAGGGTCTTCCGCTCGCGGCAAGGAAAAGAAAGGTCCAAACCCCTACACCCTGAACCCTGAACTCTAAACCTGAAACGACGCAAGGCCCCTGAACTCTAAACTAAGCACCGTTCCGTCGGGATTAGGGGCCAGAGAGCTTCAAAACTATACGTATTCCGAATCAATCCCAGTAAGCCCTGAACCCTAAACGAGTTTAGGGTTTAGGTCAGGGTTTAGGGTTTAGGATACCCAACAACTGTTTTGTCGTCCAAATTTTATCTACCTGCGCGACTTGATAGGTGATCTCTGCGAAGCTGAAGGGGAAAAAGGGTAGCCTGCAGACCTGAAAATCCTTAACTCTTCAGCTCGAACATCCCGTCATCCCTGATGCCCTGGTCCCCCCGAAACCCTGAACCCTGAACCCTAAACCTTAAACCCTAAACCCTAAACCCTAAACCCTAAACCCTAAACCCCAAACCCTAACCCTAAACCCCAAACCCCAAACCCTAAACCTTATATAAACCTTAACCCAAAAATGTCTTTCTCCCTTCGGGGCCCAGCCACGTCTTACGCCTGCCGACCCTCCGGAAGTAGACGGAGTCGACCAGCCTCGTAGGATCCGGCATCTTGGGGGCCTTTTTAGGGTTTAGGGTTTGGGGTTTAGGGTTTAGGGTTTAGGGTTTGGGGTTTGGGGTTTAGGGTTTAGGGTTTCGGTGGAGGGTTTCGGGTTTAGGGTTCACGGTTAGGGCTTAGTTTACCTTGCAGAATGCGGCATTTCTAGCTAGGTTCCCGAGTAACCGAGGAAAGGGACCAAGGGCCCTACTGGGCATCCTGGATAGGGCCTTTTAGGGCTGCTGTTTGTGGTTTACATTTCAAGCCCCCCTAAGCCAAATCTGCTAGCTTCCCACCACAAAGCCCCAAGACCTTGACCCGAAACCCTGAGCCCCCCAGACCCGAGACGCTAAACACGCCTAAACCCTAACCCCCAAACCCGAGCCCCTAAGCCCTAAGCCCTAAGCCCCTAAACCCCTAAACTCCTAAACCCCTAAACCCCTAAACCCCTAAACCCCTAAACCCCGAAGCCCTAAACCCTAAACCCCGAGAACGCCAGGTCACGGAGCCCACAGCAACTTCAGCACAAAGGGCCAAGACTGCCTCGGCCCGCGGGGCGTCAGGTTTCAGGGAGTTTAGGGCGATAAGGGGGTTGAATCAGGGTTTAGGGTTTAGGGCCTAGGCCTAGGGTTTAGGTTTAGGGTTTAGGGTTTAGGGTTTAGGGTTTAGGGTTTAGGGTTTAGGGTTTAGGGTTTAGGGTTTAGGGTTTAGGGTTTAGGGTTTAGGGTTTAGGCTTCTTAGGTGTTTTGGGGGGCCACCTGAAGGCTATTAGATTCCATGCCCCCAAGCCGCTAAAGCGGTTTAGGGTTTAGGGTTTAGGGTTTAGGGTTTAGGGTTTAGGGTTTAGGGTTTAGGGTTTAGGGTTTAGGCGGTTATAGGGCTTTCGGGCCCTAAACCCTTCTGCCGAATAAAGCGTCTGACCCGCAGCTTGCGGGCCCTGAGCCCAAGAATTTGGAGCTAGGGTGAAGGGCTTATGGGTACTTCTCTAGATTGGGGTCCCTGTTGGGGGGTCGCTTTATAGGGTGCCGTACTATGTAGGGGAACCCTAAATTATAAACCCTAAAGCCTAAAGCCTAAAGCCTAAAGCCTAAAGCCTAAAGCCTAAACCCTTGGGAGCGGTTTAGGCTCCAGGGTGAAGGGTTTCGGGTCCAGCACTTCGGGTCAGCGCTTCATTGTCGTAGTACAGTCCCTAGGAACCCTGAACCCTAAACCCCAAACCCCAGACCCTAAGCCCTAAACCCTAACCACGCCAGAGAGAAGGAAGGCCCAGCGGCAAGGAGAAAACTCCGAGGTCCGCGTAGGACGCGCCATACTCCTGCAGGGACGGGGTGAGAGAAAGTCTCAGAAGCTGCTTGGGGTACACCCGCCGCCTGCACAAAGGACCCTACGTGTGTCATGTGATGGGCCGGAATCCCTAAGCCCTCTCTATCACATGACTCTAAAAGGGTTCTTTCTTACGGGCTGAGATGTCCATCGTGAACCCTAAACCCTAAACCCTTTTCAGGCAACAAACCCCAGACAACCCGTGAAGGTCCCTATAAAGCCCCCTCAAAACAACTCGACAACACGCCCAAAAAAACCCTGCAATCCCTACACTAACTTATAAAAGTACTTGAAAGGCCTAAACAAACGCACCCACACCCCCCCCCCCCACCCCCCCCCCCCCCCCCCCCCCCCCAAAAAAAAAAAAAAAAACTCAAAACCCCTCAAGATCCACCCTGCGACCCGAAGCCCTTCAGGTTGAAGGTTCAGGGCTTTGGGGCTGCAATAAAGTTTCGGAAAAAAAAAAACTAAATCTACAAAGCCCTAAACCCTTAACCCCACAACTCTGAGACCCTAATCCCCTGCCTTTCAGAGCATAGGCCCCCTAAACCCTTCTGGGGCCCCTAAACGGAAAAAGTGCTTAAACCCTAAACCCTAGAACCCTGAACTCTAGAACGCTGAAGCGTAAAATCTAAACCCTACAAGGAGACAAGGAGGGGCCCCCTAGTTATAAGTAGAGTTATAAGAGCCCTAAATTGGTTTATAAGGATCCTAAGTTAGGCTCTAAGCCCCTTAACTACAGTTAGTGTAGTAAGGGGGGCCCCTCCTTGTAGACCCGAGACCACAGGGTAACCCTGGGGTTAGGATTCAGCGGCAAACACAAACCAGCATAAGCCTGTATATTCTGAACCCTAAACCCTGAGAAACCCCCTCTAAAGCCTAAACCTTGAATGCTACTTCCCTCAACCCGACAATGCTAAACCCCTTCCCTCCCCTGCACCCTAAACCCTAACCCTAAACCCTGAACCCTGAACCCTAAATCCTAAACCCTAAACCCTACCCCTGGGCCTTGAGAATCATGGGGAAAACCTGTCCCAGTCCCATAGGAATGCCCTGCCGGCAGGGAGAAGGGCCATGGTTGGCTTAGGGAGTGAAAGGTCAGGGTTTAGGGTTTAGGGTTTAGGGTTTAGGGTTTAGGGTTTAGGGTTTAGGGTTTAGGGTTTAGGGTTTAGGGTTTAGGGTTTAGGGTTTGGGGTTTAGGGTTTAGGGTTTAGGGTTGCGGGTTTAGGGTGCTAGGCTTGGTGATTAGGGGGATTAAGGGGTTTGGGTTTAGGGTTTGCGATTTCACCCACGAAGAGTGTGTCAGCCAAACTCCCCCCTAAAACCCTGAACCCTAAACCCTAAACCCTAAACCCTAAACCGTGAAGCTGTCACGCCCAAGCATGCAGCGGACACGGGCCTGCAACGTGTACAGCAGGAAGAGCAATGCCAGGTTACCTCGAGCACGCTTGCAGCAAACATGATCGAACTCCTTCAGGCCTCCTTACACCCCATACCCTAAAAACCCGACAGCGACCCCCCAACAAAAACCCATAAACCTCAAGCCTTAAAACCCTATACCCTAAAAACCCGATGACTGCCCTACTGATCACCCCAGAGTCAGCCATACAAGGAGGGGCCCGCTTACTAGACTAACTGTGGTTAAGGGACTTATAACCTAATTTACGATCCTTATAACCCAATTTAGGGCTCTTAAACCCTAAACCCTAAACCCTCCTTGTATACCCAATTAACCTCCAGACCTGACAAGGCTCGCAGCCCCGTTGAGCTAAACCCTAAGCCCTAAACCCTAAACGGCCTTTGCAAAGGCTACCTACTCAGCACCGGGGAAGAACCCCAATGCGCCCCAATCCCTAAACCCTAACCCCTAAGCCCTAAACCCTAAACCCTAAACTCTAAACCCGAAGCACCGAAATCCTATCCGACCTGCAATCCAGGCAGCCGTACTCCCCCTTCAAGTCGGGAGCCTTTGGCTCCTCCGGGACATGGGACTTAAACCCCAAATCCCCAAACCCCCCAAACCCCCAAACCCCAAACCCCTAAACCCAAAACCCAAAACCCAAAACCCAAAACCCAAAACCCAAAACCCAAAACCCAAAACCCTAAACCCTAAACCCTAACCTGCGGGTGTAGGGACCAAAAAAAGGCATCGAGATTTGAGAGGTTTGAAGGAGGGCATCCATGCCAGGAGCCCGTGGGATGACTTATCCTATCCATGACTATTTAGGGTTTAGGGTTTAGGGTTTAGGGTCTAGGGTTTAGGGTTTAGGCTTTAGGGTTTAGAGTTTAGGGTTTAGGGCTTGGGGTTTAGGGTTTACGATTCAAGGTTGATCTAGAGTTTATGGTTTAGGGATCTTAAACCCTAGACCCCCTAAACCCGAAACTCGAACCCTGCTTGGAGGTTCATGCTACCTATTAACCCACTATAACTGTACTTATAACTGTACTTATAACCATATTAGGGCACTTCAGGGGCTTGTAAGTGGGTCTAGGGTTTAGGGTTTAGAGTTTAGAGTTTAGGGTTTAGGGTTTAGGGCTTAGGGGTTCATAAGCAACATGAACCTCCAAGTGCACCTCATCGCGCTTGTCGCCGCACTTCCGGCAGTAGCGCGAGCCGCCCAGGTAAACGTTGCCGCAAGATGGGCAGGTCTGCCAAAGAGCTCAGAGTCTAGGGTCTAGAGTTTAGGGTTGAGGGTTTAGGGTTTAGGGTTTGGGGTTTGGGGTTTAGGGCTAGGGTTTGCAGGGTTTGCAAGGTCTGCAGGGTTTGCAGGACTTATAAGTTTAGTTAGGGGTAGCGTTTAATCAGGATGTGCGTATGCGAGGGCACATTCAGGGCCCCTTCAATGCTCCCAAAAGGCTTACACCCAACCTCTGAGTTGGGGGCCTCCTTCTTGGTGCCATGATACCAAATTGCTTGGAGCTTCATAGTAGGACATACTGTTGGGCTTCTATTTTTGCGCTTTCAGATCTCCTGTTTCCTTAACCCAAAAACCCTTGAGCAACTCTGAACCCCGAACTTTAGACCCTAAACCCTAAACCCTAAACCCTACACCTCGAATGCTAAACCCTTTTGGAGTTGGGGGTCTTGCGGGCCTTCCGGGCCGAACTGAGTTTCAGCAGGCTTCTTTTGGAAGCGGTTCTTTGTGTGTGGCATTCCTTTACACAACTAGGTTGGCACCTAAAACAACTGAAAAACAGAGGCAGCAAATACCCAGAGACTCCCATACTTGCATATCGGGTTTAGGGTTTAGGGTATAGGGTTTAGGGTTTAGGATTTAGGATTTAGGGTTTAGTTTATTTGGATTCACCCTACACCCTTAGATCCTACACCCCTGCTCAAGGCTTCTGTCTCCCCGCCGTATTCGCTCCAGGGGGGGTTTAGGGTTTAGGGTTGAGGGTTTAGGGTTTAGGGTACCTTGTCTGTACTCACAAGCAGCCTAAAGCGGCTACATCATTGTTGCTTGTCGACAGGTCGCAGCTTTAGATGCACAGCGCAGCAAAGAAGAAACGGTGCATTGTTTTTTTGTTTTGTGTGTGTGTGTGTAAAGGGGCTTCGAAACGGAACCTAAACCCCAAAACAAAATGAGTGCCTGAAAGCCTTATGAAAAATCAAAAAAACCTTGTACAAACTCAAAACCCTGGATAAACCCCCTAAGCACCCCATAAAGAACTCTAAAACCTCAACAACACCTCAAACCCTAAACCTTAAACCCAAAACCCCAAACGCAAAGCCCAAAACCCTAAACCCAAACAACCCAAACAACCCAAAACCCTCAACCGTACCCGCAAAACCCTACACCCAAAAACCCAAACCCTGAACCCTGAACCCTAAACCCCAAAAACCCAAAAACCTAAACAAAACCCTAAACCCTGAACCCTGAACCCCAAACCCAAAAAACCAAACCCTAAACCCTACAGTAAACCCTGAACCCTGAACCCTAGACCCCAAACCCTAAAACCTAAACCCAAACCTTAAACCACCAAACCCAAACCCAAAACCCAAAACCCAAAACCCAAAAAACCCTCAACCCTCAAATCTCCTACCCCTGCCTACGGTGTAGGGTTTAGGGTTTGGGATCTACCATATAAGGGGTTTCAGGTTTTGGAGTGAGGGTTTACGAGTTTGGGGTTTTTAGAGCTCTAGGGAGAGGTTTAACCAGCAAAGCGGGGGTTGAAGGTGCTCCACCAACCAAAAAATAACAATAAACAACTAGGACCTAAAACCGTAATCAAACATACACTAGGCTCTAAATAAAAAACCTGAAACAAATACCAGTACCCTCAACCCCCTAGAGGGGGGGAGGAACACTTACGGTTCCCCCCCCCCTTCAAAAGAGACTGGTCTAAAGTCAGCGCGGCCCGTGAGTGAGCAGCATATCAGCTGTCGCTGCCGGCCTTCTCTCTCTCTGTCTCTCTCTCCATCACCCATCTCTCTCTTTATCTGTTCTCCCACACCTTTAAGGCTCGCACGCCGGCCTGCTCGTGGTGCTCTCCTTCCTCCACCCGGCCAAGGATGTCCTGAACATTCTCTCTGTCTGTCTCTCTCTCTCTCTCTCTCTCTCCCTCTTTCTCGCCCTGTTTACTTGCGCCTCCAATGGCGGCAGGTCTGCCAATGCCTCCTCAGCGTTCTCTCCCTCTCTCTCTCTCTCTCTCTCTCTCTCTCTCTCTCTCTCTCTCTCTCTCTCTCTCTCTCTTGCTCTAGTTCTCGCTATCTTTGCCTCCACAGCAGACGCTTCGGCCCCGGCGTCCTCAGTCTCTCTCTCTCTCTCTCTCTCTCTCTCTCTCTCTCTCTCTCTCTCTCTCTCTCTTTCTCTCTCTCTCTTTATCTGTTCTCCCACACCTTTAAGGCTCGCACGCCGGCCTGCTCGTTGTGCTCTCCTTCCTCCACCCGGCCAAGGATGTCCTGAACATTCTCTCTGTCTGTCTCCCTCTCTCTCTTCCATCTACCTTTCCAGCGCGCCCTACTGCCCCGCACCGCCTCACTGACCGGAGACGGAGTGTCCTTCGGGTTCTCATGATCATTTGTCTCTCTTTCTCCCAGTCGCTCTCTCTCTCTCTCTCTCTCTCTCTCTCTCTCTCTCTCTCTCTCTCTCTCTTCCTCTCTTTCTGTCTGTACAGTTCTCGCTGCTCCAGCCTCCGCGTACAAGCCCAAGTAGTCCTTCTCCTCCCGTCACGAAAATGGAATAACACCCACCAGCGAACAAACACACACACACACAGACACACATTTTCCTCCCGACACCACCCACCAGCGAACAAACAAACACACACACACACACACACACACAAGTTACCCAGCCTTTCGCGCAGCCCTCTTCCTCAACCTCAGTTCAAGGTTAACTGGCACCCTCACGCCCACGATTTTCCCACGCCACCACTCAGACGCCCGCCTCTCGAAGTCTTCACCCTTCATAGTGAAGGCTTGGACCGCCATCGTAGCTGCAACGAATAGAAAATCAGACAAATTTTAAAAAAAAATGCAAGCGAGCAACTCAGATCCACAAAGCTGACCACGTTCAGCTTCTCCGTGAATTCGCAGGCCTTTTCACGAACCCACCCCACGGCCAAAAAAAAACACTTCCCACCCCAAAATCACCAACCCTCCTCCGCGCGTTTCTTCATCTCATCTCTGAGCTCCTTCCCAGCCAGCTCCGCGCACCTTCGCACACACACACGCACCCACACACACACAAACACACAAACACACATGCACGACCGCATGACTCAAACAGTCCTGCTTCCGCTTCCGCGTCGCATTCGCAGCTGCCTGTCCCTCCAGAAATTCACATTTTGCCCAGACCAAATTACACCCACAACGACCAAGAGCCCCACACAGATGCCGCAGAGCTTGGAGGCCGTCCGCGCACCGTGGTAGTTGCCGCACGTCTCCCACTTAGCGAACAAGTACTCAAAAACGACGACGACATCCCCTATTCCCACCCCCCCCCCTCCCTCCCCCCGACCCTCCCTCTCAGTTACGAGCATTCTTGCACCGCAACCGACGCCATTCTTCTGACTCCACCCACGGTTCCTGCACAGGAACCGAGTCACGAAGATTTGAGCACTAACGTCCATGCCAGTGCTCCTCCTCTGCTGCCGCGGCCTTTGCCTCCTTCTTCGCCTCGCAAACGCCCACGAAACAAAGCACGCCACGCCCTCTACCCCCCCCCCCCTCCCAAAAAAGCCAAAATACGGTCCTTGCGCCGGCTCCGACGGAGCTTGGCTGCGTCCTGGCCAAAAAAAAGCAATAAGCGCCGGGCCACTCCCCCACCCTCCTGGCACCGCCCCGTGCACCTCCCTCACCACTGCGGGCTTCGCAACGGCCACCTGCCCCGCACGCACACACGCGCCTTCACGCACACGTACGCACGCACACAGACGCACGCACACACACACACACACACACACGCACAAGCACACGGTACGCCACGAAAACGCACCCACACCCACACCCACACGCACACGCACACGCACACGCACACGCACACGCACACGCACACGCACACGCACACGCACACGCACACGCACACGCACACGCACAAGCACACGCACACGCACACGCACACGCACACGCACACGCACACGCACACGCACACGCACACGCACACGCACACGCACACGCACACGCACACGCACACGCACATCACGCACACGCACATCACGCACACGCACATCACGCACACGCACATCACGCAGACGCACACCACGCACACGCACACATTCACGCACACGACACACGCAACGAACATCACGCACACGCACATCACGCACACGCACATCACGCACACGCACATCACGCACACGCACATCACGCACACGCACATCACGCACACGCACATCACGCACACACGCACACACGCACACACGCACACACGCACACACGCACACACCCACACACACAGACACACACACACAGACACACCCACCCACACACACACACACACACACACACACACACACACACACGCACACGGACTTCTGCCCGCCCACGCGCAAGCTCAAACACACCCTCAACACACACGCGCACACACGTACGCGAGGCGCGTGCCTTCCTCCTCGCGGGCATGTTTCAAGCCTCAGATCTTTTTGAAAGATTTTTGTTCTCACATTTAAAAATCCGCTGGGTTCGTGCTCACAAAAAAATGCAAACACCAAGCTCCCCACAAAGGGAGGCAGGAGAGCGACGAGGTGCACAAAAAGATCTCGAGCCCAAAACGCCGAATCCAAAACATGACAAAAAGCCCCCCCCCTCCCCCCACCCCCCCACCCCTCAACCCTCAACCCTAAACCCTGAACCCTAAACCCTACACCCAAACAACCCAAACCCCGACCTGGGCTGGCTCAGACGCCTCGGCTTCGCCAGAGCTCGGTGCGGGCGCTTTGTTCCTGGCCGCGTTGCATATGCTGCAGAAGTAGGGTTTAGGGTTTAGGGCTTATGGTTCACTTGGAAGCTCTTTTGACTTTGCCAGTAGGGTTAGTAAGTTGGGTTGTAAGGGTTCGAATTGGGTTCTGGGGGAGACGAAGTAAACTTACTAAGTCAAAAGAGATTCCAAGTAGGGTTTAGGGTTTAGGGTTTCAGTTGTTTGGTTTTTCAGGGCTTTGGGTGTTGTAGGGCTTTTAGGGCTCGTGCGGTATGCGGCTTGTAGGGTTCGAGGTTTCTGCGTTTCAGGAAATTATGGTTTGGGCAGTAAGGATTCGGGGATCTACGTCTTGACACTTTAGGTGCCCCAATACATCAAACGGAACCCCCCTAGACATTCTCCTGGCAGTGGGCCTGACTAAAGGCGCTCGCGTTCATTGGTTTACCCTAAGGGCCCATGTACCTATCCCCTAAACCCTAAACCCTAAACCCTGAACCCCTCTATATGTACTGGGGGAACGAAGTCCCAAAACGGGAAGTACTTTAAGGATCCTGAAGGTCCAGGTATTCCCTATGTAGGCACATAGGCCCTGAGGGTTAGGGCCTGGGGTGTGGGACCAGTTTGGCGCTTTCGGCTTAGCGGTACTTCAGAAAGTGAAGAGTCAAGCCGACTTGAACAAGGGTAAGAGAGGGTTTAGGGTTAGGGTTTAGGGTTCAGGGTTTAGGGCCTTAAGCAAATACTAGCGAGTTGACCTCAGTCCCTACAGCATCTCCAGTGAGCGAGACGGGACTATCTGTGAAGTTGGCAAAGGAGAGCCTGCTGTTACGACTATTCTTATCATTATTATTACGATTACTACTATTATTACCATTATTCTTACCATTACTACTATTACTAGAAGTACTATTATGATTGTTATTACTATACATTCAGGGCTTCGAGGTGCAGTCAACTGAGCTGCGAATGCGGACGCTGAACGGCTCCCGCAAGTAAACACGCGTGCTCTATCCAAAGGTTTAAGCCGTGCAGGTGCATCAAGCTTAGCTTGCATCAGCTTTATGCTTGCATATGCACTGCAGAGATACTCATAGTTCCTATATGGGGATTTCCGGATCAAGACGGGTGCCTTTTTGCCTAAAGGACTGTATAATAAGGGAACCTAAACCCCCTAAGAAAGGGAATAAGGGCCCACTCTGGGCCCTTTAGGGGCCTAAACCCTTACCCCCAAACCCTAAACCCACTGCTCGGGCATCAGGTCCATGTCTGAGTCGTTTGCAGGATGCGGCTGTCGGGCGAGGAGGATTGGACTGGCAAGCGCAACCTGTTAGAGGTCGCCTGCTGTCGTTGAAGTAATGAGGGGACGGATACGTGGTTTAGGGGTTCGAGTTTAGGGTTTCCGTACAGCGGCCCCGATGTGGCATGGTTGTTGGCTACTTGCGGCCAACCCTACACCCGAGCAACTGCGAAGCCCTAAACGCTAGAAGCCCAAAGCCCCAAAACCCAACACCATAGAAGCCCTGAACCCTAAGCCCTAAGCCCTAAACCCCAAGCCCTAAACCCTAAACCCTAAACCCTAAACCCTAAACCCTAAACCCTAAACCCTAAACCCTAAACCCTAAACCCTAAACCCTAAACCCTAAACCCTAAACCCTAAAAGGAACCCGACATGCGCATCTCCAGGGGTGAAAATGGAATTTCAGGCTTCGGGCTTGGGAAGTTTGGTTTCGAGTTTCGGGCTCAGGGTTTGAGTTTAGGGTTTAGGGTTTAGGGTTTAGGGTTTAGGGTTTAGGGTTTAGGGTTTAGGGTTGAGGGTTTAGGGTTTAGGGTTTAGGGTTTAGGGTTCAGGGTTTCGGGCTTAGGGTTTAGGGGCCCGTTGATGTGCGACTGCGCCCTTTAAAGCCTTCAATCTCCTAAGGATTCTGGCATTCTCAAGCTTTGGCGAATGCACATCTGTCCAGTGCGCCGCGTTGCGGTTTTGGATTTAGGATTTAGGGTTTAAATATGTGTAGACACAGAATTTGTACATATGTATATAGATATACACACAATTTCTTCTGATGTTTTTTTTCGGGGCGGGAGGGGGGGTGCCTCACTTTAAAGTCAAGCCCAGGATCCCCCGGCCCTGAGCCTCAACCACCCAAAAAACCAAAAAAGCCGAATGCAACAATCTGCAAAGTACCCTCCCCCTCCCCAAACCCTAGACCCCAAACCCCAAACCCCAAACCCCAAACCCCAAACCCTAAACCCTAAACCCTGACCCCCCCCCCCCCCCGCCCTCCCCCCCGCAACAACTTGGAACACTGAACCCTGTGAACCCCAAAAAACTCAATGTGGGCCCTGAACCCGCTGCGCAATCTGAACTTTGCGCGGCAAGCGGGGTTGCGGAGGAGGGTGTGGGGTCTGTACCTAAACTTTCACAACCCTGATGTCTATACCCCTGATACCTAAGGGTTTATGGTTTAGGGCTTAGATACCTAAGGGTTTATGGTTTAGGGCTTTGGGCTCTAGACATTAACTGCCAAACCATTCACCCGAACCCCACAACACTGCACTCTGACAGCCTGTAAAGCCTCCAAACCCAGGGTTTAGGGTTTAGGGTTTAGGGTTTAGGGTTTAGGGTTTAGGGTTTAGGGTTTAGGGTTTAGGGTTTGGGGTGTAGGGTTTCGAGCCATCAACGGTGCACGCTGGAACCTAAAAACTGTATAAACCACTCAAACCCGAGCCCTCCAGCCCCAACCTGACCAGGACATAAAAAGTGTATCTTGAAGGGACTATAACTGTTGAAAGGATCTAAACCCAACCCTCAACCCCAAACCCCCCAAACCCGAAACCCTAAATCCTAAACCCTAAATAACCCTAAACCCTGACAGAAAAGGACGCCGTGAGCCTTGCCGGGCTCTGGGGCAGCTCGGGGGGGTCTGCATGGGCTTTCGGTGCGCCCCGTGGCGTGGCTGTTCGCGAGATAGCCTTGACTTGGGTTTAGGGTTTAGTATTTCGGGTTTAGGGTTTAGGGTTTAGGGTTTTAGGGTTTAGGGTTTAGGGTCTAGGGTTTAGTTTTCAGGGTTTAGGGTTTACTTCGGGTGTAGGTTGAGGGCAGGGCTTGGGGTTCAGGGTTTATAGGGTTTAGTGTTTAACTGTAGGGCGTGAGGTTTAAAAGGGGGTTGGGTTTAGGGTTTTGGGTTCAGGGTTGAATTTTGGGGGTCTACAGAGGTTATCTTTTATGTAGAGCTTCAAGGGGCTGTAAGTTACATAGGGCTTCTAGGGCTTATAATGTTGACTTCACATTAGGAATTCCCGCCGCAATTATAAAATCCAGCTGCCAGAACACAATAATGTAGCCCGCCACAATTATAAAATCCAGCCCGGAATATTCTTCTAAAAGTGATCCCCAGAAGCTCGCAGTAGAGGCTCACTTAGCCCACTGTGGTGGCACCGGGACAGCTAGACCTACCAGGATTTAGGCGGATATTATTGAGGAGGCCCTGGCCGGAGAGATTGATCAATGAAGGGGGGGGGGGGGATTTATTAATGCGAAGTCAACATTAGGGTTTATGGGGCGTGTCGGGTTTCTAGTGAGGCATGAGCGGGTTTTATGGGGAGGGCTGAGACCTTTAGGGTTTAGGGTTTAGGGTGACCTTCCTCCCTAGAACCTTCCACCCCCTCGCACTGCCCCCCATCCCCGCCCAGCCTGAACCCCAAAACCCCCAACCCCAAACCCCAAACCCCAAACCCTACACCCTAAACCCCTAACCCGGAACCCTGAACCCTAAACCCTAAACCCTTACTCCCTCAACCCTGTCTCTAGGCGTTTCAGGTCAGAGCCTGTGGCTCCCAGGCCGACCCAGAGCCACTCTGTGTGATGGGCTATTGGGCTTAGGGGTTGAGGGGGTTCGGAGTTTAGGGTTTACGTAGGGTTTAGGGTTTAGGGCTTAGGGCTTAGGGCTTAGGGCTTAGGGCTTAGGGTTTAGGGTGTAGGGTTTAGGGTCTAGGGCGTAGGGTTTATGATATGGCTTAGGGCTTAGGGTTTAAGGGTCAGCAATTGGTAAAAGCACGAACCCTTTGCTGCAGACCTGTCCAACCCCGTCTGTGTCGCCGACGCCGGCCGGGGAAGCAGCATTTTTCCTTGGTAGCCCAGCCAACAGATCATAACAAGGCTTTGGTGTTGGCGTACTAAACCCTAAACCCTAAACCCTAAACCCTCAACCCTAAACCCTAAACCCTAAACCCTAAACCCCAAACCCTAAACCCGCAGTCCCAAACCGTAAACAAAAAGCAGGATACGACAAGGGCAAAAAGGCTACCGCTGGGCGTCCCAGATGCGGGGTGGCTTTGGCTTTGGCCGCTTTTGCTTTCGCCGGGCTTGCTTTTACCGCCATGGCGCCCCGAAAATCTGAGACGCTTTTGCGGAGGAAGCGTAACCGCTCGGTCCCCAAATCTAACTGCTAGACCCGGAAGGTTAAGCGAGCTACAACCTACTACTTCATAATGGTTGGGGTTGCTGTCGCGCGTGTTAAGTTGAGAGGGAATGTTCGAATGGAGTTCCCACTTTAAACCACTGGGAAGAACTCGCCTTCATGGGCTTTTTCTTCCTCCCGAAACCCTAAACCCTAAACCCTAAACCCTAAACCCTGAACACTGAACCCTGAACCCTAAAACCAGTCCTGGGGATCGGAGAATCTGGGTACGTAGAGGGCATCTGCGCAAAGACATCCAGCTGTTTGAGCCCAAAGTTTGACAAGCAGCCTTTGGTTTAGGATTTAGGGTGTAGGGTTAGGGTGTAGGGTTTAGGATTTAGGGGTTTAGGGTTTAGGGTTTAGGGTTAAGGGTTGAGGGTTGAGGGTTGAGGGTTTAGGGTCAAGGATAGCACGGGTAGAGATATTCGGCGGGACTACACAGGGCTTACTTGAGAGTGAGGCTTGGGGCGTGTGGCTGCAGAGATCAGGTTCATTTTGTAGCTCGGGCCCACCACATCCAACATGTCGCAGCATTGTGACAAACTGCAGCTCCTCTGGGCTCCTTTTCCCGAAAACACTGAACCCTGACATAGATGCCAGAGTCACTCAGGAACAAATCTAATCCTAAACCCTAAACCCTAAACCCTAAACCCTAAACCCTGAAAAAGGCATCCTTTGATTGGCTTGAAGCTGCGTAGGAGGGAACCTAAGCACCAAAAGCAGGGGAAAGGGTACAGGTATATACCCTGTAAAGCCTAAGCCCTAAACACGACGCCCCAAACCCCAAAGGGCTCCAGTTCGGATCGTGTTTCGTCTCCTATGGTTCAGAGAGTTTTAGGGTTTTAGGGTTTAGGGTTTAGGGTTTAGGAGGGACAGCCCGAGTCCCCATGTCATTCAGGTTTACCTTGGAGGTGCAGGCACTTATTGACCCCATTGGAACTGTACTTCTCACACAACTACTGACTACATTCGGCGACGTAAGGGGCATATCAGTGGATTATACGTGCTCTTGTACCGAAACCCTAAATCCTATAAACCCTAAGCCCTACATGGGTTCGAAGTACCCTAGGGAGCTCTCAGAGTCTTAGATTAGAGGGGGGTTAGGGTCTAGGGTCTAGGGTCTAGGGTCTAGGGTCTAGGGTTTAGGGTTTAGGGTTTAGGGTTTAGGGTTTAGGGTTTAGGGTTTAGGGTTTAGGGTTTAGGGTTTAGGGTTTAGGGTTTAGGGTTTAGGGTTTAGGGTTTAGGGTTTAGGGTTTAGGGTTTAGGGTTTAGGGACCTTTTAAGGTTGGCGGCTTCAGAGCTGAACAAAAGAACTAGGGAGCCCTAAACCCTTTCGAATGAGGTACAGGGATTTAGGGTTTAGGGTTTAGGGTTTAGGGGTTTAGGGTTTAGGGTTTAGAGATTTTGGGTTTAGGGTTTCAGGGATTTGGGTTTCGGGTCAGTAGCCGAAATCTGTGGCTTGACGCCTCCTGCTGCCACATGACGATCCGGTAGCCCTTCGTGCAGCGGGGTGGGTTTAGGGATTAGGGATTTGGGATTGGGGTTTAGGCTTTAGGCATTAGGGTTTAGGGTTCAGGATATGAGGGGGTAGGTTGAGGAATGGATTTCAGTCCCTCCTCCCTGTGGTACTGTTAGATGATTGCCCGTCGCTTCAGGGCACAACATGTTGCACACCGGGGGGGGGGGGGAATTCAAAGCTACCCAAAACCATGTGCCAAAGACCAAGGCGGGAGGAACAACTCTCCTGGAGTCTGGTGTTTTCGAATTTCGATGCTTCCCGAAACTAGTTCAGGGTTTAGGGGTCTACGGTTAAGGGGGGAGGGGTCCTACAATAACCCTCAACCCTAACCCCTAAACCCTAATCCTCAAACCCTAAGCCCTAAGCCCTAAACCCTAAACCCTAAACCCTAAACCCCAAACCCTAAACCTGCTTTGGGGTATGCGGCCTGTGCCGAGCCACCGGCGACGAAACCGCCTTCGTCCTGTCAAGAGATGACCTAGGGTTTTGTAGTTTAGGGTCTAGGGTTTTGGGGTTTGGGGTTTGGGGTTTGGGGTTTAGGGTTTAGGGTTTAGGGTTAGGGTTCAGGGTTTAGAGTTTGGGGTTTAGGGTTTAGGGTTTAAAGTTTAGGGTTTCGGGTTTAGGGCTCTTAGCGAAGTATTGGGCCCTTAATTTGGGTCCCTTGTTATATAAGCCCTTATATACACCATATGTAATAAGGGCCCATACTTCGGATCCTTATAACCAAGGGCAAGGGACCGGCCCGAGGCCGCTGAGAAACCCTAAGCCCTTCAGGGCTTAGGGTTCCGCTTGGGGTTTAGGGTTTCGGGCTCAGGGCTTAGGGTTTAGGAGTTTAGGGCCTAGATGTTAAAAGCGTAAGCCCAAAAAGCACTGACATGAGAAAAGTTACCGGGCTCTTACAAAAAAAGGTGTGAACACAGTTGATCTTCTGGTTTGAGTTGAAGTACCCTTAAAGAATGTAAGGGGTTACCGGGTCTTACCCAAACATGACACAAAGTCTCGGGGTTTCAGTTTAAAGAATGTAAGGGCTGACCCAATTATAACGAAGTTTCGGGGTTGCAGCAACCAAAAAAGTTGAAGCGCAGTGGTGTCCGAACGGGAATGCGTGAGACATGCTGTCACTGAAGCAGCTCATCTCAGAAACCTTCTGTACCCAACTTTGGAGTAGACCCTGAAAAAAAGAAATACCTTTTTGGTACTAAGAAGCTATAAGAGGCACCCAGAACCAAAAAAAACATTAACGGAAAGTAGTCCAAAACCTACTGTAGGGCCAACACCGCATGGGGGTTTAGGGACCAGGGTAGCCCAGCATGCATGCTGTGATATGGGTGCCCTTTTGCGGTTGGGCACACTAAGACTTCTTACTTCTTACAAGAGAGAACCACAAAAACAGGCTTAGCCCCGAACCGCAGCATGGCCTATTGCAAGCCCTATAAGCGAACAAACCTACGTAGACCCAAACCAAAACCCTTTTGAGCCCTCCCCTCCCCCCAAACCCTAAACCCAAAACCCAAAACCCTAAACCCTAAACCCTGAACCCTAAACCCTAAATCCTAACCTCTACATGACTGGTGTACAGGGCATCTTAAAGAGTACTCGGGCCAGAAAACCGTTCACCCTGCACCACAAGGGTTTAGGGACAAGGGTTGCGGGCTTAGCGCCTAAACCCTAAACCCTAAACCGTAAACCCTAAACCCTAAACCTTAAACCCCAGCATCCCGCCTCGGCATACACCCGCGAGGCAGCAGCAACCATGTCCTGCGGGCGTTGGCCAGTGCTCAAAATGATGGCTCCTCTTTGATTCCTCTAAACACGAAGGGGGGCTTGCCCTAAACCCTAAACCCTGAACCCTGAACCCTAAACCCTAAACCCTAAACCCTAAACCCTAAGGGGGGGCTAATTGAGAGGGTGACCATACAGGGGATGGAAGTAGAAGGCACCGATCCTCATTCACGAGGAAGTTAGCCAGCAAGCTGATGGCCGTTTAAGGTGTAGGATTCAGGGCTTAAGGAATTTTAGTGTGGGCTTTTGGGGTACTATAGGATTTAGGCTCAAGGTATCAGGGTCCCGGACCTCACCCTAAACTCCGAAACCCCAACCGCCAAACCCTAAACCAAAACCCGAAATCTTAAACCCTAAACCTAAACCCTAAACCCCAAACCCAAAACCCTAAATCCTAAATCCGAATCCGAGTTACGTAAGGACCTGAATTCAAGATACATGTCAGGCCTTCGGTCGGCTTTGGGAAGCAATGCGTCACATACCTAAACCCTAAACCCTAGGGTTTAGGATTTAGGGTTTGGGGTTTAGGGCTTAGGGTTTAGGGTTTAGGGTTTAGGGTTCAGGGTTGAGGGTTTAAGGTTGAGGCTCATTGGGCCACTCACCACCAGCACCACCTCAGCAGATCTCCACGTGAGAGACCTGGAGTGGCCCTGGTTTAGGGTTTGGGGTTTAGGGTTTAGGGTAGAAGGTTTAGGGTTTAGGGTTTAGGGTTTAGGGTTTAGGGTTTAGGGTTTAGGGTTTAGGGTTTGACTAAGGGGGTGGTGGTCCCCTACATCCAGGAACTTACGGCAACGGGACACGTCCGCCCGGCAGTAGCCTTCGGCGCCGAAGTCGAGAAGTACAGCTACACTTGGGTTCTTAAGTACCCTGAAACTCCAGGCAATGTGCTATATTTCAGAGATCCGCTAAGCGCCGCGGTGCCTCTTAACTACTTGTCACTGGAGGAGCGGGGAACTCAGCAAGGCCTTACTCCCTCAACCCAAAACCCTACAAGGTTTAGGGTTTAGGGTTTAGGGCTCCCCTGAAACCCTAAACCCTAATTTAAACCCTAACCCCTAAAACCCCAAAACCCCAAAACCCCTAAACCCCTAAAGCCCTAAAGCCCTAAACCCCTAAACCACTAAACCCCTAAACCCCCAAACCCCTAAACCCCTAAACCCCTAAACCCCTAAACCCCTAAACCCCTAAACCCCTAAACCCCTAAACCCCTAAACCCCTAAACCATAGCACCCTAAACCCTAAACCCCAAACCCCCTAAACCCCTAACCCCTAAACCCCTAAACCCTAAACCCCTAACCCCTAAACCCCTAAACCCCTAAAACCCTAAACCCCTAAACCCCTAAACCCCTAAACCCCTAAACCCCTAAACCCCTAAACCCCTAAACCCTAAGCCTCGATTCTCTACGACCAACGTCCTCGTCGAGAGGCATCTCGATGGGCGTGAAGCCGCGACTTATGAGGTCGTCCTCCAGGCGCGTGCGCTTGAGGCACGCTGCGGGCGTGAGTTTAGGGTTGAGGGTTTATGGGGCTTGGGGGTTAGGGTTTCGGGTTTGGGGTTGAGATGCTTGAGGGTTTAGGGTTTAAGAATTCAAGGGAGCCCTAAACCCCAAACCCTTCACCA